AGCACCTATAGTTTACAGGCATCTGTGAACCAGATGGCAGAAGGCCTGCCCTTCCCTTGCCCCAAGGTCTCTGCCTCCTGGCCTAGGTCCCCCACCCCAGCCTCCCACCACCAGGAGGCAAGATGCTATTGCTCTCCCAATCACCTGGAGCAGGTGAGGGCTTTGGGGATGTGGGCTCTGGGCTGACTAATTGGGTCCCGGGAGGAGAATCAGCTCCTGGGGTGGTGTCTGGCACTGCTCTAAGCTGCTGTGTGATCCTGAACTGTTTCTTACCCTCTGGGCCTCAGTCTCCCCTTAAGTACACTTCAGATTCCATGATTTCTATTCTGCTCTGAAATGGGCCTTGTCAGTCCCTCCTTAGACCCCTCCCCAGAATAGTTGAAGGAGGAGAGACGTTACCCTAGAACGCTCTAAGATCTTTCTTTAGACAATCTCTGGATCTTATTCATTCATTTGAGCATTTATTGAGCACCTAGTGTGTGCCAGGCCCTGGACTGGGCAACAGGAATGTAAAGATGATCAGGAGTCAAGCAAGAGAACCACAGACACCCCACTCCGTGCCTTGAGCCCTGCTTAGGTTCAGGAGACCTCCTGGGGTCCCAGGTGGGCCTAGCAGAGGATTTGGGACGCCCAGAGACCAGCGTGTCAGCGCATTAGGCGCTTACGGTCGCGATCTGTCTCCTCCCCTTCCTCCTCCTCCGCCCCCTCCCCCTCCCCTCCCCTGAGCGCGGCCGCGGCCGCCTCCCACCCGCGGGATCCCGGCGTCCGGCAGCCGGCTCACGAGTCCGTCGGTCCGCGGCGTAGTCTGTCCGCACGCAGAAAGCCCAGCGTCCCGGCGCGCGGCGGCCGTGGGCCTGGAAGGGAAAGGGCGCGGAGGCGGGACCGCGGCTCCCTCCCACTCCGGGGGGAGCCCAGGGGGCGGAGGTACTGAAGCGCGAGCCTGAGAGAGAGGCAGAGCAGAGGAGAGGCGGTGAGAGCGCGGGGTGCTGAGGGACCCCACCCCGGCTCCTGCGGGGGCCCGCGCGCGCTTTGGGGAGGTCTGGGCTGGGGAAAGGGGGCTCTTAACCCCCCACGGCGGGAGGCAGCGGCGATCCAGCTCTCGGCTTCGCCTCCTCGGTGACGCGACCCCAGAGAAGCCCTGGGCCGCGCCTGCAGCACCGCGCATCCGCGAGCACCCCCGCGCATCCCCGCGCACCTGCATCCCCCGCCGGGGCGCGGGCCCCGGGGGAGGGGTGTGCTGGGGGGAGCTGAAGAGGGGGAGCCGCAGGCGAGAGAGCCTCGGAAAATCGCGCTCCCAGCCCCAGTTCTCCCTTCAGGCCTGCCCCAAGGGAACGCGGGCAGCGACCCCCTTTAGCCCCCTTGCTGCCCCCCCCATCGGTTCCCCATTGTTCTCAGCGATCGCTCTCCTGGGAAGGGGGAGGGGGTGCCGCGCTCTATTCTTAAAGGGCCCTCTCCCCTTCTTGCCTCCCGGCAGGTCGCGAGCACGAGTGGGGTGGGGCGTGCCCACTGGCCCCCGCCCCCCTCGTCCCCCCTCGCAGCTCGGGAGCTGTAGCCTGAGCCGGCGGGCCGGGCACACACGCCGCACCCCTCCCCCGTGCATGCCTCAGCTACCCAGGCCTTCCTGGACACCGTGAAGCAGGGACCAGGGGTACAGGGACAGCCCCCTTCAGCAGGAGCCGTCGGGGGGGCGGACCCAAGACAAGGCAAACAGCCCCATTGGAGCCAGGTGCAGGGCCTGGGACGCAGTTGGGAGCGCAGAGGACTGGCTGGGCGCCGCAGAGAGGAGCAGGCTGAGGCTGGGCCTCCTGGGTGACAGGCCCTGCGCCGCGCGGGGAAGGACGGAAGGCCAGCAGGCAAGAGATTGGATCTAGAGTGGGAGCAGCTGCCTCAGATACCAAGGAATTTAGAGCAACGTTTCCTCCATCATAAGAAAGACACTTGCTTTCCAGAGCGAGCACCCTTTATCCGAGACAGCTCTGCAGGGAGGGGGCCGTGGAGCCTGGAACACCACCCCACACTCATTTAACTGAGGCCTCTGGGGAGTTAGAAAGGAGGCCAGACAGCTCTTGCTGGCCCCCTGGGGAGAGAGGAAGTTCCCTGCCCGCTCCCAGGCCCAGAAGGAACTGGGCCAGTAATAGTGGGGTCCTGGCCCCTGAGGCAGCAGCGGCCATGTCACGGCCAGGCCAGGGGGTCATGATGCCAGTAAACGGGCTGGGCTTCCCACCTCAGAATGTGGCCCGGGTGGTGGTGTGGGAGTGGCTGAATGAGCACAGCCGCTGGCGACCTTACACGGCCACCGTGTGCCACCACATTGAGAACGTGCTCAAGGAGGATGCCCGCGGTTCCGTGGTCCTGGGGCAGGTGGATGCCCAGCTGGTGCCCTACATCATCGACCTGCAGTCTATGCACCAGTTTCGTCAAGACACAGGTGAGTGGACTCACTATCCACCCTACCCCACCCGCCAGGCCGGGCGGAGACGCAGACACCACCACCATCACCACCTTTCATGGTAGGCTGCTCAAATCCCCCAGCGTCCCTGAGGAGGGAGCCTGGAGCTGCAGGCAGGCCGCTCTGCTGATCCGACTTCCCCACTCCTCCCCCAAAAAGGGACAGCCTAGCCTAGTCCAGTTGAAGACTTTGTTTCCAATCCAGCCTTTTATATTTGTTGCTACATCACCTCTCTTATACTCAGTTTCCTCATCTGTAAAATGAGTGGATTCATATCTCACACAGCAGTGTGAGGATTAAATAAAATTGTGCTCACAGGGCACAGAACGTAGACGAGCATCAGCACTCGATTATTGGCCTGAAAGTTCTTTCCATGTACTTCCTCATTTGATTTTTTTTCCCCCCAACAATCACAGACAGTAAGTCTTCTTATTGTCTTCTTATTAGGAGTAGTCCCACTTTACAGATGAAGCAACTGAGTCTCACAGAAGCTGAGTGATTTTAAATTCAGAGCTGGGATTTTAAGTCCAGGCCATTGACTTCCAGAGCCAAAACTCTTAGTACCCTGTCCTGGCTCCAAGTGTTGGTGGGGTTGGGGTGCTGTGATGGCGGTGGTAGTGATGGGGTGAGGGAGTGTTGGGGCAGGGTGGAAATGATGGAGGAGATAGTGGTGGTGGTGACGTCAATGGGTGTATTGGTTGTGGTATTGGAGGTGGTGCTGATTGATGGCTGTTTTGGTGGTTGTCTTGGAGGTGGTATGAAAGGGTGGTAATGATGCAGAGAATGAGGTTGGTGACAGTCTTGGTGGTCGTGTGATAGATGATAATGCAGAGATAAATATGGGAAGGTCCAGCCTCAGCATTTTTGTTCTGGAAATGTGCCATCACCATGGAGATCTCCCTGGGCCATCGTCTCTGTGACAAGCTTGATGGGCAGAGGAGCATGGTTAGTCCTCGCCCCATGGAGGCTGACAAAAATTCCTTGTCATGTTTGACCCCAAGGACCAGCTGGTGGAGGTCTGGGAGACTTCCTGTGACTCCCTGGATGGCAGGACTGCATGTGACAGCCTTGGAGACCGTAGGACATTCTCTCTACAGCTGTGCCATCCAATATAGCAGTCACTAACCACATGTGGCTATTGAAATTTACATTAATTAAAATTAACTAAAATTTAGAATTTAGTTCCTTGGTCCCACTAGCCGCATTTCAAGTGCTCAGTAACCACCTGTGTCTCGTGGCTGACATATTGGACAGTCTAGGTCCAGAATATTGCCATCATCGCAGAAAGTTCCAGTGGATAACTCTGCTCTGGAACATTGATTGCCTGGGTGCCCACAGAGTGGTCACCACATGTGGAAACACAGGCGAATCCATAACAAATGGTTTATCGATGTTACATCTATGTTTCCATAACTCCAGGCATTGACGACAGTCACTGGTGGTGCCAGTCAGTCATCCACGCCGTCATACGATTATGGATTGACTTCCGGCTGTGTGTGCAGCTTTGTGCTGCAAGGAGCCAGCCAGCCAGGGTCCTGAGTATAAGTTTACCCCTGGAGGACCTATGCTGGAGGTCCCAGTATAGTTACGGAGTAAACAAACACATAATCTCACAAATACTCAGCTGTGGGTTTGAGAACATGAGACAAACCTGGTCTAAGGATGGTCATGGGAGGCTAATGTGAGTGAGGAAGGACTGTTAGAACGGAAGTCTGAAGAATGAGTGAGGGAGCCAGTGTTCCAGGCCCAGGGAACAGCCAGTGCAAAGGCCCTGTGGTAGGAAAGGACAGAGTACGTTCAAGTTCATTGTGTTTGGAGAGCCATGAATGTGGGGAAGGTGGTACAGGATGAGATTGGAGCGGGGCCTGGACAGCCACGAAAAGGGCTTTGAATTCTTTGAGCAAGTCGCCCTTGAGTCCTCATGCCCATTTTTTCAGGGAGGCACTGAGTCCCTGATGGAGAAATGAGGCGTGCCAGACATCCCCTGCCCCCATTCTCTCTGTTTTCTCCTGGAACCTTCTCTCGTGGAGGGCACAGGTCTGACAGCGGAAGGAGGTGGGTTTTCTCTTTGGTTCGGTGTTTGGCAGGTTCAGAGTTAGTGCTGGGTGGGGAAATTTTTTAGGGCCTGGCCTGTGGGGGTAGTCCTTAGAACAGGGATAGCCTCCCTCAAGCCTGCCTAGCTGGCCACTTTCTCTTTGATCCCCCCATTCGGGGGCTTTTTGCTATTCCTGGCACCCCTACTTGGGTTCCTAGCTCCCCCAAATCCCTCCATTCCCCTTTCCAGAAGGCCCCTTACTCTCAGTGGCACCTTTTTTATGGTCCAGCCTCTCTGGATCGCCTAGAAGTTCAGCTTCAGTCACTTCCTGGCACCCCTTCCCGGAGCTACTCAATCTACACCTGCGCCTGTTTGCCGGAAAAGGGAAAAAAACTACTCATCTCTCAATGGGCTCCTGGGAGCCTGCCCAGACCCCCAGCAGGGGAGGAAGGCCTGGGAACCGATGGGGCTGGCAGGGGACCTAAAATGCCTGGAAACTGCTGGAGGGAGGGGCACCAGGCCTCCCCACCAGACATATTATATATATAATGTGCTCCCCACTTCTCCCAAGAGCCAATCAATGTCAACCTTGTCCTCACTGGGAATGGACCAGGGAAGAGCCTTCGGCAGGCATCCCCCTTCACCTTTCCAGGCTTTAGTTTCTACATCTGTGAAATGGGCAAGCGTGTTGCTGTGCTAACAGAGTTCTTGGATTGATGGAGAGAACTAAGGTTATGTTATCCCATAAACCCTGACTAATCACTCACCATGTAGCTAGTATGTGCTGAACACTACAGATGCATGAGAAACGAGTGGCAGATCCTAAATCTTATAAAGATTATGGTTCTCTCTCTCTCTCTCTCTCTCTCTCTCTCTCTCTCACACACACACACACACACACACACACACACACCAATATAAAATAGTAAAACCCAAAGTTCACTATGTGTATTGAAATGAACACAGCTTCGATCTATATTTTCCAATTGTAAAATTCTTGGTAAGTTTATTGAAGCTGAACTTTAATGTACTGGGGGGACTGGCAGAAGGCCCCAGCTTTGCCAGTGCCCTAACACTGGAGCTGGCAGACTTTCTGGTAAAGTCAGATAGGAAATATCTGAGCCTATGTGAGCCCTACCGTCTCTGCTGTTACTGCTCGAGTCTCTTGTAACATAAAAGCAGCCGTGGACCGTATGCAAATGAGTGACTGTGGCTGCGTTCTCATAAAACTAGTTGTGGACACCAAAATGTGAATTTCATAGAATTTTCAAAGGTCACGAAATATTCTTCCCCCCCTCCCAAACATTTAAAAATGATAAAAAAAAAACCCTCTTAGCTTGTGAGTTGTGCAAAAGCAGGCGGTGGGCCGATTTGGCCCATGGGCTGCAGTTCACTAAACCCTGCCCTGTTGGGTTCTTAACCTGCCCATGTGGATAAGACAGTGCTGGCACCACAGCATGCCCAGTGTGGCATATAATGAAATACACGCCTCGTGGTGTGTGCCCAGGTGCACACGCGTGTGCAGACACGTAGCGGCAACCCACTTGTACACTGCTGACACACACATGCCCTGTCTACTCGTATGTGCCTGTCATGCAGCCAGCTGAAGAAAACCCGTGTCAGGTTCCGACCACAGGGGACAAGCCAGGCCAGGTCCCACCGGGGCTGCTGTTTGTTCAGCTTGTGTCCCCTCACCTTTCCCCTGCTGGGTTGTTTTCATTGCTCTACACAGGGGGTGAGGTTCCCTTTGAAGCCCAACAGGTCCAGAGCCCAGTGGAAGGGGAATACTCTGACCCTGGGCCATGTGGTCTTAGATCACTCACAGCGGTGGCCCCATGCAAGGCCACGACTTCCCCGAGGGTCATTGCCACCCCACGCCACCCCCTGCTGTTGGGGCAGCAGCCTCATCCAGAGCCTAGACTTTCCACCCAGTCCCCGCAGCCAGACAGAGATGTGACTTAGCCACTTCCCAGGCAATTTCCAGATTTCTCCCTTAACTCCCATGGCTGGGGACAGAGGGGAAGGCCACCATTCTGACGAACTGGTGTCTCCCATTCGCCTCTTTCTCTGCTGCTGGGAGCCCTTGTGGCAGCCTTCTGCCCATTCTATAGATGGAACAGCTGAGGCCAGGGGAAGCCAGGCTGAGGACCATCCACAGCTGCAGTCCCCAAGGCTCTAAACATGGCTGTGCCACCACTCTCAAACTGTCAGGCTAGAGTGACAGGTGGTGTCTGGTTTCAGCATCTCCCAAACCTACATCATCGCTTCCCTGGGTAGCCTGGGCTCCACTCAGGCCTGGTCCCTGCCCTTATGGGAACATTCTAAGGACACGCTTAGGCTGTTGGAGACTGAGTGGGGCCTCCCAGAGGGAGGAACAGTCAACACCCGGGAACGCACTGCCAAAATTTAGACTCCTAGGCAGGTCACTGTACAGATGGAAGACTGAGGCCCAGAGAGGGTGAGTGACTTGCCCAAGGTCACACAGCCAACACATCCCAAGCTGGAACCCAGGCCATTCAGACAGTTCTCAGGGATGTAGAACAAGGTGGCATTTAATGCTAGGCTGAGAGAGTTCCTGTCCCCTTCCCCCTTGAGAGTTCTGTTGGGGCTTGTTGTCAGGGTCTCTACCGCAGCAGGAACAGCCTGTTCAACACAAAAGGCCTCCAGGGCCAGCTTCCTAGTTAGAGGGCTCCTTGGAACCCTCTCCCAGCCAAACTTGGAGGCCCCTGGGGCTGGGCCTTCCAGCAGGGGTAAAAAGTATGACCTGTATTTGGGCAGGAAGAGGTCTGCCCCATGGTGGCTCAGGTTCAACTAATCCATCCATGGGTGTCTCCCACTCCCAATGGTCATATTGCCTACATTTCCACAGACCCACCCTCTTGGCCTCTGGCTGCTGGTCTGGCTCTGGGAGCCTCTTCTGATACCATAAACTCATCCTCACTTT